CTGTTTGATTTGGTGGTGCTGCAGGGTTGTGCCTTCACGAATCCAGGAAAACACGCGGCCATTGGAGTTGAAGCTGTTGATGTTGATGTTGATCCCATTTGACCACATCACATGCTTTCGAACACTAATTGTCCACTCAGCATGCGACTCCATGAATTGCAGCCGGCCCCGGATTTTTTTCCAGAACAGTCATGGCTTCTATGACTGCTGCACCGTGACTAGACACGCGGACCTTAGTGTGGTTTTAATGGTGCAAGGGTGCACAATCAACCGTGCAACGCTACCCTCTGTTTCGCGGTGTTTATGCTAGATTTGGTTGCTCTATTCGTGATTTTACCCTACAATGGTACGACGAAGACGATTCGTGATAAGATGGGCCCGATCGGCTAATTGTATATTTGGCCACACCTCAGCATGGCTAGTCTCAAAGATACCATTCAATCCAAAATCGTCCACGATACTCTTGCCTACGCCCAACTTTTTCGCGATTTTCCTAGTGTTCACCCCCTTATGCAAAATGGTGGGTCCAGGAATTGTGCAAGAAGTTCCCTGCCGATGTTTGTACTAACCTCGTAGGTAACATGCCTAGGAGGGTGCAGGTGGTGATCAAGGCCAAAGGTCGGTAGGCGATATACCAAAAATGCAGTTCTGAAGTTTGCTCTCTCTGCATGGAAATATTTGTCCTGATGTACCTTTTTCTATATCTATTGGGATATGAGTTAGATGCAATGCACTATTCTGGATATTTGTGCTACGAACACATCCACTATATGCCCCTTCCAAATCGTACTACCACTAAACATTAAGGCTTAAGGTATAGTGGTCTTAAAGCCTAAAATCCCATATTGATGCAAAACATACGGACAATTGTTTTCGCCACTGTAGCTGCGAGCAACGACAGGACCAGAAGAGGGGCCAGCAAGTGCGACAGCGGCAGGCGCGGCAACCGAGGGGAGGGTGGCGTGGTCGCGGAAGAAGGAGGCTGATGCACCGGAGTTAAGTGTGAAGGCCAGCGAAGCAAGAGCAGGAAACGAAGGAGGAGTGAGTGTAGAGCCTAGGCTAGACAAAGCAAACGGTCCTACGCCTGACGCAGTAGGGGAGTCTATACTACACAGAGGTGCTACGCCTAAGCTAGAGAATACAGGGTAATAAGATCTGGGCACTCTAGAAAGTGTCAGCATATAGAGAATGCAGAGCAGAACTTATATGATCCATGTCTAAGTCAAACACAGGCACACCATGGCACAGCAGACCAGGCCAGTCGAGGAGATCCGGGGCCGGGCCGAAGCGGCGACGGAAGAGGTCGTCGAGGCGGCGGAAGCAGCGGATGGTCCGGTGCGGGCGGCGGCACACAGTGCCACGAAGGAGCCCGGTCTGGAGCTGGTACTGGCAGCTCACGGCACCGAAACCGCCGGTAGACGCCGAGCTGCGGGGGCCGCCACCGCGGCCACCACCTCCAAGGGCTCGTGGCCACCCTGGGGGGAGGCACACCCACGACTGCTGCTGCTGTTGCTGCTACTGCTGCTGTTGCGGCTGTTGCTGCTGCTGCTGCGACTGCTGCTGCTGTGTTTGCTGCAGCTGCAGCTGCTCTTGGACACCAGCCCCAACCCCCTCTTCAGAACTGTCTCCACCACCACCACTACCACCACCAGCACAACCACTGCGCCCTCCCTTGGGGCCACGGCGGCCCCGACGCTGTCGCTGCTGCGGGAAGGCCACAGCTGCGGTCTCAATGGCAGGGGCAGCCGTAGCGACCGCAGCGGAAACGTCAGCGTACGTGCACTGTGAGGGAGCACAGCCCTGAAAGATAGGGACTGCCACAACACCGCTCGACTGAGTGATAGTGCGCTGGCGAGGCTCTATCTCAGACAGGACAGTAACAAAGGCGGTCAGGGTGAGGTCGCCAGGGTGCTGGCTACGGATGTGGTCTCGGGCTGTGGCTAAGCGGTCAGGCAGGCACATGGAAATAAGGTACAGGGTAGCGCAAAACGGCGGGGGGAAGGCAGTGAGCTGGATGGTAGCGCTAGCAGCGCGGTAGCAAGTCTCTAGTGCACGGAGGTGAGTGGCGAGATTAGCAACAGTGGGGAAATCAGAAAGATCAAGGAATAGCATGGGGAGGATCAAGCGTCCAGCGGAGGTGGGGGCAGGTGTGGAGTAGCATGCAACTACTGCATCTAGGAAGTCCTTGGCATTCACGACAGCAGTGAAGCACGGACGCTCAGACAGGGGAAGCGCATAATGGCGAGCTGCGCTACAGCATCGTGAAAATCCCAGGCAGCGCGAGCGAGCGTAGCAGCAGAAAAGGCCTCGCTCTCAGCAGTGGTGGGATCAGTAAGGAAAGGATCAGGCACGGGGGGGCGAGAAAGCAAGCCATCAACATGCATAGCCAGGGAGAGCCCATTCTGACACTGACTTGTCACGTGACGGCGAAGATCGACAAGCCAGGCTGCGAAGTCGATCGCGTGCCCGTCGGCGTCCAGGCGAAGTACGGCGTCCGCCATCGTGCAACCTCAGTGGCACAGGTACACGGTGGCACAGCGGCACGGTGGCACAGCGGCACGGGGACACAGCGGCACAAGGACACGGCTGCACAGCGGCACAGCGGCATAGCGACACAGGTACTTAGCGGCACAGTGGCACAGGAGGGTGGCGGCAGGACTTTCTGGCAAGAAGACCGGGCGAGAGGCCAAGGAGGGCCCGAGGCGCGCAGGGCCCTGGGCATGCTGAGACGACTGGGCGCAAAATGGCCATCGGAGTGCTGGGGCCCAGTGGCGCGGGAGGGCTAGTGGGCGCACGAGGAGCCGTCGGGTGCGCGAGGGGGCGAGGCGCGCAAGGGGCCGGCGAGGCGTGTGAGAAGCCGGGCGGGTGCGGAGGGGCCGGCGCGTACACGAGGGGCTGACGAGCATGCAAGGGGCCGGCGGTGCGCGAGAGGGGCCGGCTGGGCGCGAGGGGACGGCACGACGCAAGGGGGGCCGTCACGGCGCGCACGGGACCGGCTAGGCGCGAGGGGCCGGCGGTGCGCGAGGGGCTGACTAGGCGAGAGTGGCCGGCTAGGCGCGAGGGGTCGGCTAGGAGCGAGGGGCCGACTAGGTGCAAGGGGCCGGCTCGGCGCGAGGGGCCAGCTAGGTGCGTGAGGCCGGCACAGCGCAAGGGGCCGTCACGGCGCCCTATGGGCCGGTTAGGTGCGAGTGGCCGGCAGGGCGCTAAGGGGCCGGCGCGGCGCGTAAGGGACGGCGGGCATGCTAGGGGTCGGCGAGGTGCGCTAAGGGCCGGCGGTACGCTAGGGGCCGGCGGGCGCGCTAGGGCCCGGCGGTACGCTAGGGGCTGGCGGGCGCACTAGGGGCCGGCGGGGCGCGGTAGGCTAGGGTACGAAGTGGCGGTAGGCTACGGCGAGGGGCGGAAGCGGGTGGGCGTGTCGTGACATTGGGATAACCTTGTTGATTTTCTCTCTATCTCTAGGGAGGGTACTGGGGAGGCTTTCCTCAGGGAAGGTGAATATATGGAGCCTAACCCTCCAGATGACATGCCTGCTTGTCCCAGTGGTTAGCACTGGTTGACTTCATGACTGGCGGACCTAACCTACTATGATACCACGTTAGAATACGCGAATGACTAGAAACAAGAAAGTACAGGGGAGATATAGGATTGGAGTTGTAATCTCTAAGAGCACAAAACTATCTAGCCTACATACAAATATCTGTATAAGTTAACAGGTTGAGCTACCAGTCAACGGCCAACGACAGTTGCCCTTAGCAACTCGACTGAGCTGCGTACCCGGTAGAAGTTATGGCGCACACACACGTGTTACTAATCGAGTGTTAATTCCCAATAAAATATAAAGCAATTCCTTATGGTGACCCTTTTTCTCTGCATCTAAATTCAATTTTGTGTGATTGGGTTGAATGGCAGAAATGCATGAGTTCAACCTTCATAAGTGTCAAAGGAAAGGGAAGACAATTCAGTAATAGCATGTTATGAGACTTCGGTTAATAAAGGAACGCCGAATGGGAGATACCACTTCCTCTGACTGTCGGTGCTTCCGCTACCACCTGTCTGCGAAGCCTTCCCCTACCTTGCCGACAAGTGTCTCCGCCACCCTAGCTGCGCCGCACTTGCATTTTTGGTGGTTTGGCGAATTGTAGCGATGTCTGCGACGCTCCAACGACCATATCAGCCAGTCGGGTAACAGTAGTGTCAGGGCAGTTGTCAGCTCCCGAAGACGGAGACTTGTTAGCGAACCCTGACGGGTCGTGTCGGCGACTAGTGGAGGTTGAGCGACCAGCAACTGTGCCCCAGCTTCGAAGAAACAGAGCGAACAGCGACAAGGAAGGCCTCCCCAAAGCAACAGAGACACGGTAGAATTCGTCGTCTTGTCGTTGTCTCCACTGCGCAGCACGCCCTCGCACCCACCAATTTCCATACAAAACACAGTCGCACACAGCGCGCTGAATGCGCACAAGAAACGTATACCGTCCGATTTCCCGATGTCGTACTTGTTCCGTCCATCTCGTTCCATCTAATCCCCTTATCAACCGAGTCGCACTTATTTGAGTGCATTGGCTCGCCCGGCCGTGGAGTGGACTGGTCGCCTCACGGTCAACCATGTCTGTGGCAGAGACAAGCAATCTGCGAAAAATCGGAGCCGTCGCAGCACGGTGGACTCCCTTCGCCAGCATGTTGGACATTCGTGGCATCATCGTCCAAGTCGCCCAAGTCGCCCAAATCGCCCAAATCGCCTTTCGCTTGCTGTTCACTCATCCCCCCAGTCTCTCCCCCCACTCCCCACAACCTTCCTCCCCACTCCCTACGCGGCTCGATGTTCGCTCAGTCAGTGCTCTGCTCCATCCCCCTCCATTCCCTCGGACACCAGCCGCCCTCCAGCCAATGCCCCCCAGCCAATGCCCCCCAGCCAATGCCTGTCGAGTCGACCTGCTCCTCCACCCGCTCTCTCCGTCCATTTTCCTCTCGCTGTAGAAATACTAAGGCGGCAGTGTTACCATCTCTTCCCTCCTCTCAACTGGACGGGAGGCGAGCTGTCGTGTAGCCAGCCGACTAGTTTCCGCCATCGCATGTTCTTCGTCTTCCATGTTGGAGCTGCCCCTTGTCTGAAACACCCCCACGTCGGCTCACTTCAGGAATCTCCCATACGTTCGGACCGAGGATAAATCGGGCACCCCTTGCACGTATCCCTTCCATGTTTGTGATTCTCCGCGTAACTCTCACTCGATATTTTCATCCCTCTGACCTTCGCGCAATCGCCTAGCAGCCAGAGATTAATTAGGGAGAACAGCCCAGCGTACTATTTAACGCGAAACAAGTCCAGTTGACGAGCAAGCCGATATCATGGCGCAACCAGGAAATGCAGCAGCAGCCGCAGCAGCGCGCGTCTCTCACACGCAGCAGCAGCAGCAGCAAGGCAACGACCGCCGCGACAGACGCGCGCAGTCGCTAGAAGAGGCGCAGAGGAAGCGCGGCAGGGGCTCGGGTTGCGACTTCGACTCCACCTCCGAGTCCCGCTCCGCCAAGCTCGCTAAAATTGGCGCCTGTTGCGCGCCAGCGAATCACCAGACGTCCTCCTCCACTCACCCGTGCGCCTCCTCCCCTTGTTTCCCTTGCTCCCCCAACTCCCCCTTCCCCTCGTCCTCCTCCTCGTCTTCCTCCTCCTCGTCTCGTACCACCGAGATTTTCGGCACGCCGACGGGGCGCGTAGAGGATTACTTCGCGCTCGAGTCGGCGGTGCTGGGGTCGGGGCAGTTCGGCACGGTGCGCCGGTGCGTCGAGAAGGCGACGGGGACGCGCTTCGCGTGTAAGACTATCTTGAAGAGTCGATTAACTACCGAGTCGGAGAGCCATGACGTGCGGCGCGAGGTCGTGCTCATGCAGCGCCTTGCTGCGGGCGCGTCTTGCGGCGCAACTTCCGGCCCAGCTGGCACCGCATCAGCCGCCGGCGCGAGCGGCTTTGGCGGGTACAATCCGCAGCACGTAGGCACGGGCGTGGTGCAGCTGCGTGCGGTGTTCGAAGACGAGCGCGCCGTGCATCTGGTCATGGAGCTGTGCGACGGCGGCGAACTGTTCGACGAAATCGTGCGACGCGGGCGACTGAGCGAGCGGGATGCGGCGCAGGTGTTTCGTCAGATAGTGTCGGCCGTCGCCCTGTGCCACTCGCGCGGCGTGCTCCATCGCGACCTCAAGCCCGAAAACATCCTCCTCTCGCGCGTCCCCGCTTTCGCCGCCTCCGCTCCCCCCGCAACTCCCGCCACCTCTCCCGCCGGTTCCGCCGCTGCAGCCACACCGTCCGCCGCCACTCCCGCCGCAGCCGGCGCGGGGCAGCGCGTCGTCGCGAAGCTGGCGGATTTCGGGCTCGCGATTCCGCTGAAACACGGCGAGCGCGCGCGCGGGGTGGCGGGATCGCCCTTCTACATCGCGCCCGAGGTCCTCACGGGCGATTACTCCCTGGAAGCCGACGTGTGGTCGCTCGGCGTCATCCTGTACATTCTCCTCAGCGGCGCGCCGCCCTTCTGGGGCGCGACGGACAGGGACGTCTTTATTAAGGTGCTGCGCGGCGCAGTTGACATGAGTGGGGAGGAGTGGAGAGGGGTGTCGGAGGAGGCTAAGGGGCTGGTGCGGTGCCTGCTGCAGAGAGACCCGAAGAGGCGACCGGCTGCGGGTAAGATTCTGACGCACCCGTGGATCCTGCTCAACTGCCTGGGAGGGAGGATCGTCAGGCAGCAGCTCGGAAAGAAACTCGTTCTTTCGACTGGTGCTGCTGCTGCTGCTGCTGCTGGTGCTGCTGTAGCTGGTGCTGGTGCTTCTGCTGCTGCGAGCTCACCTGTCGCTTCCTCAGCAGCAGCAGCAGCAGCAGCGTCAGCAGCAGCAGCAGCAGTGCCATCAATCAAAGTGGTGCGGCAGCAGCCAGTGCTGGCAGAAGCTCTGGCTGCGACTGCCATCAGCCCATCAGGCATCCGCGTGTGATGTGTTGATCCATCTCACTCTCCTCACAACCACTACTGCACCCACTCCTGCCAGCGTGTAACCTGCTCACTCCAGCACATGCCTCTCACAACCCTCCGGTGGCTCCCTTGTGACTGGATCTCCCAGTGCCACCACCCAATAAAGGCTTCCCTGCCTCTAACCTCTCATCGCATGGCTGGACTCCCCGGAGCTCTCCTGGTGCTCCTCTCCTCGCGTGCCGCTCTGCCTCCCTCCCTTTTGATCCCCACTCCTTCACCCACCGCTGCTCCTCTCTTACTGCTCTCGTCCCCATCTACATCAGCATGCCACGTGGCAATGCAGGGGGATGCCAAGTCAAGCCTCATCAGCACGGCCGCCAGCAGCCAACCCAACCCGACCTGCGCTTGCTGCCTCTGCGCAGCCAAGTGTCAGGGCGTGTGGGAGCTGCTCGGCTACAGTGTGCACTGATCTACACCAAGTATATATTTGCTCTTGGTTGGTGTGCAGTGTTACCTGGTTACACTGTGAGGCTTGGCTTGGCATGTTACCTGCCACCAGCGCATGTTGTGCAAGGATTTCTAATTGATACATGTGTGTTGTGGTGCCTATGGGGCAACATTTGGCTACACCACCTAGCTTTTGCGGTGCTAACCTGTTCTTTACTGCGAGTGCAAGTTTTCTAGTGTCCTTTCAATCCACGTGCTGTTCAGGATGCAGACCGTCCCCTGTCTCAAAGCAACGAATTGACTAGAATGGGAGGTACAAATGAGTTTGCACTAGTGTTTAGTACCCTGTAAGAGCATGCACCTATCTAGCTTATAATAACATATACAAATATGTTTGACACACCCCCTAAGCTAGATGAGGGGCAGTGGCACCACTGTGTAGTACCCTCTAAGAGCATGCACCTATCTAGCTGATAATAACATATACAAATATGTTTGACACACCCCCTAGGCTAGATGAGGGGTAGTACCTCGCAAAAGTCACTCAACTCAAGTTTGCACTACTAGTTCAACCTCTGAGGCAAGGATCTGACCAGTCAGCAAGAGTACAAACTAAACAAGAGTGACCCAGGGCGGCACTACTAGTCCAGCCACAGGAACAAGAGCCACAAGGCCAATCAAGATAACATAAGAAGTACACAATCAGGGTCCTAGCAAGTGAGAACTAGACCTAGCTGTACACAGTGTCGCGGATGATCTTTAGGCGCAAGCGCCTTCGTAAAGATATCAGCTGTGTTGGCACCCAATGCCAAGTGTACTACGCGAGCTTGACGGCGCTGCTGTAGCTCACGCAGGAGGAAGTACCGCTGCTGGATGTGCTTCGCTCTGCCCTCTAGTCGAGGCTCCTGACACTGGAGGATCATGGCCCTGTTGTCAGCGTACAGGACCGGGGCAGAACTAAGCCGCTCATCTAAGTCTGTGAGCAAGAACGTCAACCAACAAAGCTCACCCTCACAACTAGACTGTGCAACAGACGACGAGCGGGTGGACCTCAACGAGATGGCATCTGCACAAAGGCTAAACCAGTAGCCCTGGGAGGACCTGAGCGTCTCAGCGTCGTCTGCCCACGAAGCGTCTGTGTGCCCTGTAAGGCCCACTGGCCTGCGTTCTCCTAGCACTAGCCCCATGCCCGATGTAGTTGCTAGATAACGCAAAACCCTCCTAGTGGCCGACCAGTGTTGTGGTCGGTGTCTGCCTATGGCCACAAAGCGAGCCGGGATGCTGAGAGGGTATGCGAGATCTGGACGAGTGCAAGTCATCATGTACATGAGGCATCCCACCCGCTCTGCGTACGGACCATTAGGCTCTACTGACACCTCAGGGACTGGAGCCGAGAGCCTATAATCTACTGGCAGAGGTGTGGGCTGTGCAGAGGAGAACTGATGAGCGAACCTCTGAAGGACCTGGCGCACCAAATGTGACTGTGTAAGAGTGATGGTGCGCGCTGCTCTGTCCCTGGAAATCTGCAAGCCAAGGTAGCGGCGCAGCTCTCCTAGGTCAGTGCACGTGGGTCTCCTCAGCAGTTCGGCCTTCACGGAGGCTAGTGCGTCTCTATCTGCAGTAGCGAAGGCTGGGTCGGCTACGTAGACAAGGATGTAGAACGGGGTATGGCCAGAATGAACGAAGAGAGAAGGGTATGCAGACGACAGGAGGAACTGCAGGTCAGCTAACATAGCACGCACCGTGTCGTGCCACTCGCGAAGAGCCTGCTGCAGGCCGTAAACCGGGCGCCGAAGGAGCCACAGGGTCCCAGAGGCGAAGGTGCTGGTGAAGTCTGGCGGGCGGCAAAGGTAGACCTGCTTGTGCAGACTGCCCAAGAGAAACGCTGTAGAGAAGTCGAGAGAGTGCAACTCGCAGTCACGCATTGTTGCCAAGTGTAGCAGCGCCGGAAAAGTAGTCATCTTTGTGGTCGGAACGAAGGTCTGAAAGAAGTCAACACCCTCGCGTTGACTAAAGCCTCTAGCAACGTGGCGCGCCTTGAACACAAGTGGCTCTCCAGGAGGGCGCTTCACCTTGAAGAGCCACCGACCATCGACTACGTTCACCCCAGGTGGGGAAACTCCGTCGACGTAGGTGCCGGTGGATCTCTAAGATGCAATCTCCTACTACATGGCAGCTATCCACTGAGGGGCCCAGGGTCCCGAGGTCGCCTCATTGTAAGTGTGAGGGGTCGAGATGTCAAGGGCGTCTGGGTCACCCTCAGGGACTAGTAGCATGGAGCAGAGAAGAGGAGCGGTCTCGGAAAGGAAAGCAAGCTTGTATTGCCGGTCCTCCAAGACGTCTCTGCCAAGGGCAAGAGCACCCCCGACGGACGGAGGACTGGCCGGTTCAAAGATCAGAGTGGAAGCGTAGTCAAGGCGGTGGGAAGAAGCAAAGTCAGCGACGGCAGAGACAAGAGCAGAGAGACTCGAGACAGGATCAGATGGGCCAGAAACGAGGGAGGCAAGGACCCGATGAACAACTAGCGACCTGAAGGAAGTCAGACAGAGGAGGCGGAGCGACAACAAGCGACGATGATGGAGGCGACGGGAAGAGGGGAAGACGAGACGTGTGGGAACAAAGCAACATAGGGTGACAACGTTGAGCAGGAGAGACAGGACGAGCACGAGCGGCACGGTGAGACCACCAGCGGGAGGGGGGGGTCGGGTGAGGAGACAAGGGTGGAGAAACAGTAGGAGAACAGGGGGGGGGGACGAGTCGGAGACGAGTCCCGCGGAGGAAACATAGAGCCGTAGACACGCGGGGAAGGTGGCGGCTGAGGAGGCGCAGGTGGGTGGTCAGGGGAGGGAAGACCTAGAAGACGAAGGGCGGCGACTGCTGCTACTGCTGCACACCGATACCAGGCCCTCCAGCTGCACGACGACTACCTTCGGGACGCTCCACGACAGCACCCCCAGAACGAGAACCCTCTCCAGCACCAGTGCCACCCCCGGAACTCTCTCCACGACAGTTTCCCCAGGACTAGCACCCTCCTCAACGCCCGTTCCCCCAGAGCTCGCGGACCCCTGCGGTGGCTACTTTTGCGGCGGCGGCGACTGCGGCTGCGACGGCGGCGACGGCTACTGCTGCAGCGACGGCTGCTGCTGCTGCAACGGCGACGGCGGCTATCGCTGCGGCGGCGGAGGAGGAGACACTGAGGTGGAGACATGCGGCGAAAGTGAAGCCGCAGGACCCCCAAGAGTCAGCCGACTCCTCCACCGGGACAACCGATGGGGGGGGAGTGACGCTAGACACACCAGATGGGGTAGGACAGGGAGGAAGAGGAGCAAGGGCTACCGGGGGCGTGGGGACCAAGAACAGGGGCGGGGAAATCAGGAGAGCTCGGTGGGGAAAGCGGGTGTAGAAGGAGACAGACTCGTCAAAAGTGACGTCGCGAGAGTGAAAGAAACGGTGAGACGGCAGGTGGTAAAAGTGCCTGTCAGACGCGTGTAGGGGGAAACCAAGGAAGACACAAGGGACAGTGCGGGCAGTGAGCTTGTCCGTACTGGAAGCACAAACGTGAGTGAGGCAGCCCCAGACGTCGAACGCTGACGCATCACCCAGGGACTCGGTCCAGAGAAGGGTCGGCGAAACCTGCGGCCGCTGAGAGTGTGGCCACAGGTTAAGCTGGTGAGCGGCGTAGCGAACAGCGAACGGCCACAGAAAATGGGATGCACGATCATGGATCATGGATGTATGAGCCACCTCCATGACCAAACCGTTCGTCGCTCAACGACCCCATTCTGATGGTGGGAAGTTCGACAGTGTGTACGACTGGGTGATGCCCTCCGGACGACAGAACTGGCTAAGCCGACCGGAGGCGAACTTGCCGCCGTGGTTGGAGTGGAGACGAAGCACGGGCAGGCCATGGTGGACTCGCGCAGCTACGAACCACGGGATAAGAACGTCAGGCACATCTGCCTTCCGCTCCAGGGGAAATACTGTGGTGTAGCGTGTGTAGTCGTCGACGAGCACTAGAAAGTAGCGCTCTCGACGCGGCCCAGGGACGGGGGCTCGGCCCCAAACGTCCAAGTGCAGGGTCTGGAGTGGCAAAGTGGTGGGGGGCAACGAGGAGGAATGACAAGCACGGCGCAGCCGGCCCTCGACGAAGGGCGTGCACGGCGGCGCGGGGGAGGGAGGGAGGGCAGGGGGCGACACAGGGAGACCTAAGACAAGACCATGTTGGGACATGTGACGGAGACGCGGGAGTGCGGGGTGACCTAGGCGATGGCTCAACAACAAGGACGGGTGAGTGAGCGACCGACACGAGCATGCCGCAGCAACCTGGGAGGGCGTGGCCACTTGGAGGGATGCTCCCACCGGGGGGGACGCGGTGTCTAGGGTGAACAAACCAAACACCGGGCCCTGGGGGAACGTGGTGAGGGGGTTACCAGTGGCGGCCTCGGTATAGACCACGTACCGCTTGTGTCCAGGGAACGTAGTGGTGACGCTGAGGTCCTGAAGACAGCAGACACCAACAAGGTTCCTGGAGAACGAGGGGATGTGCAAGCCTGCCCCAGGGAACCGCCGGACAGGGAAGGGTGGTGGAGCTACATGCAACTACCGGACCTGAGGAGGGGTCAGCAAGCGCTACAACGACAGGTGCGGCAAGTGGCGTGGGTGCAGTGTGACCACGAAAGAAGCAGGCGGACGCACCTGAGTCTAGCGTGAAAGAGAGCATGGCAGTAGCAGCTGCAAGAGGAGGAGCTGGCGTGGAGCCGAGGCTAAACAAAGCGGGTGGTCCTATGCCTGATGCAGCAGGGGAACCTAGGCTACACACCGTGGACATATGTACTCTAGGCAACACAGGGTAGTAGGATCCAGTCACACTAGAGTCACCTGCATACATGACATATATGGCAGACCTAATCTGATCCATATCAAGCTCAATGACATGGACACAGCGACGCACCGGGCTGTACCAGTCGGGGAGGTCCGACTTGGGGCCGAAGCGGAGATGGAAGAGGTTATCGAGGCGGCGGTAGCACCAGGCGGCGGTGTGACCGGGACTGACGCAGACGGTGCCGCGGCGGGGGCCGGACTGAAGCTGGTACTGGCAGGTGACCACAATGGAACCGCCACCCGACACCGAGCTGCACAGCCCACCACCACGACGACGACCACCACCGCTGCTAGGCCATTACAGCGGCGGGGGTCCCCACGGCTGCTACTGCTGCTCGTGCTGCTGCCCCGGGGCATCAGCCCTGGTCCCCTCGTCTGCCCCACCGTCCCCATCACCACCTCCGCCACCTCCGCCACCTCCGCCACCCCCACCACCCCCGCCACCCTTCCCTCCGCCACGCCCCCCCTTGGGCCGGCGGCCCTTACCCTGACGTGGCTGCGCTGAGGCCGCAGCGACGGTCTCAGCAGCAGGGGCTATCTCAGTGACATGACAGAAACGTTAGAGTAAGTGCACTGGGAGGGAGCATAGCCTTGAAAGATAGTTACCGCCGCAGGACCGCTAGACTGAGCGTTAGTGCGCTGACGGGTCTCTATCGCGGACAGGGCGGTGACAAAGGCGGTAAGGGTGAGGTCACCTGGGTGCTGACAAAGGAAGTGGTCGCGGGCAGTGGCAAGGCGGTCAGGGAGGCGTGTGGCAAGGAAGTAAAGGGTAGCGCAAAGCGGCCGGGAATGCAGTGAGCTGTGCCTCAGTCCTAGCAGCGCGGTAGCTAGCCTCAAGTGCGCGGAGATGAGTGGCAAGGTCGGCGACATTGGGGAAGGAAGCAAGATCAGGGAATAGCATGGGGAGGATCAGGCGGCCGGCAGAGGCGGAGGAGGGAGTAGAATAGTGCGCAATGACCGCATCTAAGTATTCTTCGCATTGGCTACAACGGTAAAGCGGGGACGCTCAGAGAGGAAGAGGGCATCACTAATGGCAAGATGTGCGACTTCGTGGCGCGACTCCCAGCAAGGAGGGCAGCATGTGCGTCGGGGCAGGGAAGCTTACCGTCAATATGGACGGCCAGCGAATGGCCGTCCTGGCGCTGACCTGTCAGCTGGCGGTGGAGGTCGACGAGCCACGCCTCAGAATCAACCGCACGACCCTCCGCCTCCAGGCGGAACACAGAGTCCGCCATCACCAGCTGCAGCAGCTGACTGCCACTAGAGGGGGAGGAGAGCGACAGAGAGCGGTGGAGAGCGGTGGAGAGCAGTGGAGAGCGGTGGAGAGCAATGGAGTGCGGTGGAGGGCGGTGGAGACAACCGGCGGTAGCGTCGGCGCAGAGGGGAGCCAAGGCTGGCGGGTCAGAGTGGCAGAGCGGCTTGGCGGCTCAGCGACACGGCGTTACGGCGGCAAGACTCGGCGGGAGCTAGGGCCGGCACTGGCTGGGGCCGGCAGAGCTGGGCCTGGCGAAGCTAGCGACGGTCGGCTAGCAACGGGCGGGTAGCGATGGGCGGGTAGGAACGGCGGGTGGCCAGCGGCGGTGAGCGGCTAGCAGCGGCGGCTAGCGTCGGGCGGCTAGCAACGGGATACCATCTCAGAGTAACGCATTGACTAGAATGGGAGGTACAGGATGAGCTTGTACTATTGTGTTTTACCTTTTACGAGCATGCACCTATCTAGCCATTAATAACATAGACAAATATGCTTGACACCCTATGCTGCCTCCTACAGGCTGGAACATATGTTGACACACATCTCCGTATGCAGCATATCCAGCTTAGCTGTCACAAGGAGTTTCAACGGCTTGCTATTGCTAAGACACAGGACGTTGGAAGAATCTAATTTCAGAGATCGCGCATGCCTTTCCATGTGAAAATAGTGAATGGTTAGTGTGGCGGAAGCAGTATGAACAATAATGAACGAGGAAAAACATTAGTGTGTCACAAATGGCCCACTATCCAGCAGCACCCAAGCTTTACACGCAACGCAACTCAACTCTGCTCTGCACCTATGATCCTTTCAGCGACAAGGGTGCTTGCTCTCCATCCATCCCCCACTCACTATCCTTTCACTCTGACACCTCCGAGAGCGCGCATTGCACAACCACCATGCTCTCAAGCACACCACAAATCATGCATCACGCATCGTGCTCCTCCCCATGCCGCAGCACCCAGATTGTGCCACGTCTTCATTCAGCATGCTGTGAGGCGCCTCAAGCACTGGTTCAGGCGGCCACCGCCTGCTCCTCCTCCTCCTTGGCGGGCTCCACCCAGCGGCCGTGGTCCTTGATCAGCTTCACCAGCGCGTCCGTCGCCTCCTCCATGGGGATGCCGCGCTGCACCACCTCCTGCAAAGAGAGGGGGAGGGAGGGGGGGAGGTGGTGGGGGGGGGAGAACAAGGGATGCATCGGATAATTGTGAGCAAATGAGGCATGTATGGGTTTGGCTGCGGCCTCCTGCATGGGGATGCCGTGCTGCACCACCTTCTGGGGGAGCAGGTGGGAGGCGTTAAAGCGCGGGACGGGTTGGAGGGAGAGAGGTGCAAGCGGTGGCAAGTCCATCTGGTGCCCTTGCCGTGCTGCAGGGGAGGCTGCACTGCAGGGCACCACCACCCGGGGGGGCCACGCGCACGTGGTGGGAGGGACTTGGCTACATCACGTGAATGGCTTGCAGGGCTCTCAAAGCAACCCGTAGCCTCAGACAGGTGACTCGCTTGGGGATGCCGCGCTGCAGCACCCGCGAGTCGTGAGCCACCTTGCCGACATAGCCAAGGGTACAACCACGCTGCGATGCACGGCCTGGGATTCATTCAATCTATTGCAGAGTGGAGCTCACCTTGCCCACATAGAGGTCGATCTTGCCAGGTGCCCCCCCCACATAGCCGAAGTCAGCGTCAGCCATCTCGCCAGGCCCGTTCACAATGCACCCCATGATGGCGATCTGGCGAGGCAGGCAAGGGGGTTGCAGAAATGAGTTGACGGGAGCGGGCAATTAGGAGGAACACTAGCCATCTGGTGGGAGCCGTTGACTATGCACCCCATGATGGCAATAAGGTGGGAGACAGAGGGACGAGGAGGTTTGCAGGGAGAAGGGACAAGAGGTGGGGGGGGAGGGGATGGGCAACCAATCAGCCATGAGGGAACACAAGAATAACACGGAAAGCGAGAAAGGGCTGGAGGAGATCTGAGTGGGACGGAGGGCGGCAGGGGAAAGAGTGTCGAAGAGTCAAGGGGATGAGTGGATTGAGTGGCACGACTAAACAATGTGAGGGCAGAGAGAGGGCTGAACTCACAGCGACGCCAGGCAGGTGGGAGGTGCGCTCGCGGATGGAGGCAGTGACTTCCTGCAGGTCAAACAGCGTGCGCCCGCACGACGGGCACGACACAAACTCCTGGTGGTGGGAAGCCGGGGGCGGGGGGCGCAGGGGGGGAGTGGGGGGATGGTTTGGGGGTGTGGGGGGGGGTGGGTGTGTGGAGAAGGGGGAAGAGATGACGGGCGATGAGATGCGTCGGAATGGCAGCTGCTGCTGCATGGGTGGGCCTTGCGAGGAAAGCAGTTGAAATCGCATCGTGTGAGACAACTGGCCCTCACCGTCTTGCTGTTGCACATCCTGCACCCCTGCAGCATGCGAGCCCGCGTGGTGTTTAGAGCGGCACATGGAAGGCTTGAGGCTCTTCCAGACGTGGCCCTATCACCTTGGATTCTCGCCGCTTACCGTCTTGGTGTTCCTCATGCGGCAGCCCTGCAGCATGCCGAAGGACGTGTTGCGCAGGAACTCCATGTCGTGGGCGGGCGCCTCCAGCAGCACGCCGTCGCCCAGCCCGTCCACCTGGAAGGGTGGCCATCAGGGAAGGAGGGGCGATGAGAGGGAAGAGGGGTGGTGAGGGGGAGGTAGGGTGCTGAGAGAAGGGGCAGGAACTCCATGTCGTGGGCGGGCACCTCCTTCAGCACACCGTCGCCCCGCCCGTCCACCTGGCATGCGTGTGTGTGTGTATGTGGGTGCGTGCGTGCATGCGTGCGTGCGTGCGTGTGTGTGTGTGTGTGTGTTGGGGGGAGGCAGTAGGCAGGGAGGGTAAGTGAGAGGCAGGGATTACTCGAGCTCAGTCCTGGCTAGTCACCTCCATTCGGCCAAGTGGCGAGGCGAGTGCTAGGATAGTGGGCACTGTAATCAGTTCCGACAGAGCACCATCTGCAATGTGCTATTGGTGATATAGCTTTATTCATCACATGCAGCATAATATGACCCATGGCATGGCATGGCATGGTATGTCTCACCAGCAGAGCACCGGCCTCAGCACCGGATTGCAGCACGAGGTCATCCCTGGGAGAAGAGAAGAGAAGAGAAGTGAAGAGAAGAGAGGGCAATCGGGGGGGTGCAGACAAGACAGATCAAGAGTGTTATCACACGGATTGGGAAGCAAGTGCTGTGTGGTGATGGATTGGGGGCAAGGGAATGAGGGGCGGGAATGAGGGGCGGGAATGGGAGGAAACGCAGTTTGCAGAGAGCAAATTGAGAAGCGGAGAGGTTGAACGGAGCGGTCGTACTTGGAAGTGCCATCGGGGAAGCGGATGTGGTGGATGACAGGTGTCGTGATGTTATTGGTCTGGAGGAACTCAAACAGCCTGAAGGGGACATGTGGAACGCAGGCAACGAGCGCACAGGGGAGGAGAGGGATGTAGCCAGACTGACAGGAGCAATAGCAACTTGCACGACTGAGCGTCTCAAGGCGTCCACGAGAACATGTGACGCTGGCCTGCGGCTGGCATGCATGCGGGCCGCAGGTGACCGCACTGTTGGCTGCCTGAGGCGGCACATGCGCCTGGAGTGCGCACAGAGGAATGGTGCAGCAGCATGCGCCCATGCACCCATGCACCCCCCATGCCCTCATGCACCCACGCACACATGCGCTTGCACCCATGCACCCCCCATGCCCTCATGCACCCACGCACACATGCGGTTGCTCCCATGCACGCACCCGTGCACCCATGCGCCCACGACTGAGACCCTGACCTGCGGCTGGCGTGCACGCGGCTGAGTGTGCAGTCCTCTGCCTGCGGCGGCACGTGCGCCAGCAGCATCACGGCGTCCAGCCCCACCAGCGCCTGCAGCTCCTCCTCAGCCTCGTCGCCCTGCAGAGTCACGGCAAAGCGGGCAGCGCCTGGTGGGGGAGGGGAGGTAGGGAGGCGAGAAGAGAGCGCGGCACGGCACATGAAACAGCAGCGCCACTGCATCCAGCGCCCACTAGTGTCTTGAGCTCCTCCTCGTTCTCATCGCCCTGCACAGTGACTGCAAAGCGGGCAACGCCAGAATGAGCAGAGACGAGGCAGAGACAGGACACAGCAGAGGCGGCAGGAGTCTAGGAGAATCGGACGAGATGACAGATGCATGCGCAGGTGCAGGTGCTTGTGTGCGCCCAGCTTGGCGTGCTCGATGGAAATAAGAGCTGGGGAGGGGAGGGGAGGGGAGGGGAGGGGAGGGGGGTGGGCTGCGACTGAGCAGCTCAGTAACAGCAAGATAACCTCCTAAATTACCAAGGACAAATATATTCAATTCAACTAACCCTGCGGCAGGTGCTTGTGTGCGCCCAGCTTGGCATGCTCGAGGGAGATGAGAGCCACGGCGTTGGGGAGGGAAGGGGAGGGACGGGGCGTGGGCTGCGACAGAGCACCAAAGAAACAAAAGCGTCACCTCCTGAACTCTGGAGGGCACATGCATTCCACTAACCCTGTGGCAAGTGCTTGTGTGCACCCAGCTTGGCTTGCTCCAGAGTAATGAGGGCAACGGCGTTGGGGAGAGGCGAGGCTGAGAGGGCTTCAACTGGCACCAGCACGCCCACCCCCACCTCCTGCAGCCGCCGCAGAGCCAGGCGCTGGGTGGGGGTTAGGGAAGATGGGGGGAGCAGGGGTGTAAGGGGAGAGGGGAAAAAGTCGGCGAGAGGCAATAAGATGGGGCAAGGCTGAGTTGGCTTGAACTGGCACACGCACGTGCATCGCCACTTCCTGCAGCCGCCTCAGGGGTACACGCTACATGTCGAGGAGCGGGGGGAAGGTGAGGGGCAAAGAAGAGGGACCAAAGCGAAATTCAAGCACCCAACGTCCTGCAGCCGAGGTAGAGTCAGGCGGCGGTGCTCAGAGAGACAAGGATGGCAGGTAGAGCAGAGACGATGGTAGCAAGGATGGCAGGTAGAGCAGAGTCGATGGTAGCAAGGATGGCAGGTAGAGCAGAGACGATGGTAGCAAGGATGGCAGGTAGAGCAGAGACGATGGTAGCAAGGATGGCAGGTAGAGCAGAGACGATGGTAGCAAGGATGGCAGGTAGAGCAGAGACGATGGTAGCAAGGATGGCAGGTAGAGCAGAGACGATGGTAGCAAGGATGGCAGGTAGAGCAGAGACGATGGTAGCAAGGATGGCAGGTAGAGCAGAGACGATGGTAGCAAGGATGGCAGGTAGAGCAGAGACGATGGTAGCAAGGATGGCAGGTAGAGCAGAGACGATGGTAGCAAGGATGGCAGGAAAGAGAAGAGGAGATTGGAGCGCATCGAGAGAAACCACATCGTCTCCTGCAGCCGACATAACCAGGCAGTGTTGAGATTGAAAGTAAGGGGCGGCATTGAGTAGAGTGAAAAGGAGGATATTCCGAAGGAACTTGGGAGGAAGAAGGTAACTTGGAGGAAGCAGCTTCTGGCAGTGCAAACACAGAGCTTAGGCAGCTGTACAATGGTAGCAAGACATCAATCAGTGTGACTCAGATTTCAATAAAATGAATGACTTTACAACGAGGCGGCAAGGTGGCTCAGATTTCAGTTCTCCATGAATGCGATGAAATCATTGGCACTGCACTGTTGACACTGCCCAGCTCCGTTCCGAGAACAGTGCCTAGCACTGCTCCCAGCTCAGTTCCGAGAACAGTGCCTAGCACTGCTCCCAGCTCAGTTCCGAGAATAGTGCCTAACACTGCTCCCAGCTCAGTTCCGAGAACAGTGCCTAGCACTGCTCCCAGCTCAGTTCCGAGAACAGTGCCTAGCACTGCTCCCAGCTCAGTTCCGAGAACAGTGCCTAGCACTGCTCCCAGCTCAGTTCCGAGAACAGTGCCTAGCACTGCTCCCAGCTCAGTTCCGAGAACAGTGCCTAGTACTGCTCCCACCTCAGTTCCGAGAACGGTGCACTTGTTTGCCTCATATGACACGCACACTGCAACTGCTCTCATCATTGCCACGCCTCGGACAACATAGACCGAACCACTGGAAGCAGAAGCCATGTATGTGATTAAAAAAAACAAGAATCCGAGACTCTGCCTGTTGGTCAACGCAATCAAAAGACTACTACATCCTCATTTGCAGCTGCTTGCTTGTTCAAACTATCAAAGCTCAACTCACAGCTTCCTTGTCATCAGCAGCTGGTGGCTCCCTCAGCAGAATGCTGTCCACTGTGGCCAGGTCCTGGTGTTTAGGGGTGAGGTGAGAGAGCAGTGCAGAGGGGTGGAAAGCGGTGAGAAGTGATAAAGGTTGGTAAAAGGGGATGGAAAGGGGACGTCGTGCATTTATCCCTGGCTAGAATGCTGTTTACTGTGGCCCGACCCTGGTGCCAAGATGACGAGCAGCGGAAGAGCGAGAGGTGCAGAGGGAAATAGCGAGGCCAGAGGAGCACCGGTTTGAGTGAGTGAGTGGGTGGGCGGGCGGGTGAGAGCATGAGGAAGGGAGGTAGTGAGCGAGTGAGGGGGGATGGAGAGAGCAAGGGAAGGGAAGGGATGCACCTTGAAGGGCATGCCGACGGCCATCTTGCACGCCAGAGCGCGGTAGAGGGTCTCGGGGCTCTGGTGGAAGGAGAAAACAAAGACAAGGAAAGCGCCACACGGAAAAATAGTGAACACAGACGGCTGACGTGCCCGAGAGAATTAAACAATAAGGCTCAAGAAAGCCTCATGCATCGTCCCCCCTCAACTCCTAGACCCCTTCTTCCTCTCATGTAGCTACATTCACTCCCCTCCTCCCCCCTTACATACTGTCAACCTCCTGACCCACCTTGAACACTGCTCAACTAACATGGAGGTTTACCTACCACCATTGACCAATCCTGCACACCTTGAGCATGGCAGAATCAACAGACATGAGCACGGAACCGTCGCGGTGCAGCATGCCCCTGAAGTCAATGGCGTCGCCCTGATGGGGGGAGGGAGGGAGGAATGAGAGCCGGAGAGGGAGGGGAGAATGAGAGGGATTAGAGGGAGAGACACGACGACAGACATGAGCGCGGACTGCAGCATGCCCCTGGACTCAATGGCGTCGCCCTGATGGGGGGAGGGAGGGAGGAGGGAGTGGGGGAGGTGTGGAGAACACAGGGTTACGAAACAAGGAAACGCCAAAGTAAAAGCAAGGCTTGGGCAGGGTGCAATGGGGCTTGATGTAAGAAAGGTTAAGATGAAGGTAAAGCGAGGGTAAGGGCAGAGGGAGAGCAGGACAGGTCAGAAGGAACACACCTCCTTCTGCAGCGGCAGGTGGCCCGAGCGGCGGGAGAACTCAAAGGAGGAAGAAAAGAAGGTGGGGTTGACGAGAAACAGAGAGCAGGGAGGCTGATAAACGCACCTCCTTCTGCAGGGGCAGCTGGCCGGAGCGGCGGGAGAACTCAAAATAGCTGCGGTGCTTCTCCTCGAAGTCCTCCTGCCGGGAGAAAAGGGCGTTGGAATCAGCAGCAAGGGGCAGGGCTGCATTGTGAGAAGCCTTAGAAGGAGCGGCGAGAACAGTCAAAGTGGCTATAATGCTTCTCATCAAAGCCCTCCTGTTGAGAGAAACGAGTGGCTCTGAGGATGGCATTAAGGGCGGCATGAAGGGCGGCATGAAGGGCGGCATTAAGGGCGGCATTGAGGATGGCATCGAGGATGGAAAAAAGAGCATGTCGTCAACAAGCCCGCCATGCCCTTGCCGAGCCACGTGCCATAGCTAGCCAGCCCAGAGCACAGCTCGATCTTGTCAGCAACAGATGACGGTACAATGCATGCGAACCACTCTTTCAAGCTCACCACGCCCTTGCCCAGCTGTGCAGCGCGCATGCCAGAGCTAGCAATGGCGATGGAGTAATAGCATGTGAACCATTTGGACATACTCACCACGCCCTTGCCCAGCTGTGCAGCGCGCATGCCGTAGTTGGCCAGCGCAGAGCAAGGCTCAATCTCCTCCTCCGGGGCCTCAGTGAGCGACACTCGGATGGTGTCGCCCAGCCCGTCCTGGACGGGGGAAAGGAGGGGGGAAGGGAGGGGGAGTGAATGGTGTGTCAGAAGCTGATTACAGCCTTGTCGTCACAGCAAGGAAAGACTCCAAATGGGACACTTGGATGGCGTTGTTGAGACTGGCCAGAGGGGTGGGGGGGGTGGGGAGGGGCTCTGAAGGCAGCCAAAGGGGCGTGTGTGGGTCATCATGGGAGAATCATTAAAATATATATATATATATATATATATATATATATATATAAGGCAGCTTAATGTGGGTTCGCCCCCGTCTTGGTAACACAGGGGGGATCCAAACGGAGACCGATTCGCATCTCACTGCCATGTGCAGCACCCGGAACCAGTATCCCCCCCATGCACAGCACAGCCACGCATGCACTTCCGCACACATGAATGCCAGTAGCAAACCCGTACAGTCCACACGTGCAGTCACACATGCATTATCACACAGTGCAATCGCAGTAGCAAGCAGCTCACCTGCAGGAGCGCGCCAATGCCAATGGCGGACTTCATCCTCCCGTCCTCCCCTTCACCCGCCTCAGTGACCCCCAGATGCAGCGGGTAGTTCCAGTCATCCCCTGCAGCCCTGAGCTGCGCGGCGAGCAGGCGGTAGGCGGCGACCATGACGACGGGGTTGCTGGCCTTCATGGAGAAGAGGAAGTTGTGGTACTCGTGCTTGCGGCAGATGCGCGCAAACTCCAGGGCCGACTCCACCTGGTGAGGAAGAGGGGCAGGAGCGGAGTGAAAGGGGGTGAAAGGGGGTGAAAGGGGGTGGAAGGGGGTGGAAGGGGAGTGAAGGGGGATGGTGTGGTATCGGTGCCTTCATGGAGAAGAGGAAGTTTGTGGTAGTCATGCTTGTGGCAGATGCATGCAAAGGACTCCACCTGCAAGGAAGGGATGGGAGGAAGTGGGGAGTGAGGTGGAGGGGCAACGAGATGAGACGACCACCACGTGGTCGGTCTACAAGACAGATCGCGCGTGTGGCCCACCATGCCACGAGTGCACGAGTGCTGACTCACCATGCCACGTGGCGAGTCGCCATAGTAGCTCATGATGCGGTCGGAGAGACTGCCGTGGTTGGTGCCAATGCGCATGGCGCGCCCCAGCTGCTTGCACTTGAGCACGAGCTTCGAGAACACCTGCGTGGGCGTCCGTGGTGACGGGTGCAATGACAGATGAAAGAATACATGTAAACGCATGCAGACACACAAGGAGGCAACGAGGTGGGTGCTAATGCGCATGCGTGTCTCCCACATGTGCTATGCACAGTTCGCCCTGCATTCACCTCCTCGGTGTGCTCAAGCTCCTGCTGGTACCTCTTATCCGTCCGTGTACGCCACTCTAGCCCCACCTTTAGTACTCTGCACTCTCTCGCCAATCACCTCCCCTCCTCGATACGCTCCAGCTCTTGCTGATAACTCTCATCCGTCTGTACTCCATCCGCCGCCCTCGCATGCACTCTCTCTCCCTCTCCCTCTTCACGTGCCTCTGCCATGCACTCTCCCTCACTCGGACTGGCTATTTACCTCTTCGATGTGATCCAGCTCCTGCTGGTAGCTCTCGTCCGTGTACTCCACTGTCTTGAACACAGCGCGGGTGTCCGCTGCAGCAGCATCAAGGGAGCGAATGTGAGCGTAAGGGGTGGGTGGGAGCGAATGCGCGAGTAAGGAATGAGAGCGGTATTGGGAACAAGGAAGGAGCAAGAGCATGCGAGCAAGGCAGTGGAGAGTTACCGAAGTTGCCGGGGTTGATGCGGATCTTGTCGAAGCAGTCAGCCACGCGCAGGGCGATGGTGGGCGCGAAGTGAATGTCCGCCACCAGGGGGATGTTATAGCTAGGGGTGGGGGTTAAGGGGAAGGGGGGAGGGAGGCGGGGAGGGGGGAGGGGGGGGGGGGGTAAGTGGGGAATGGGGGGAGTGTGGGGCGAGAGTACATTTGAGTCACATGAACGCTCACGTGCATGAGGATGGTGGGCGTGATGTGAATGCCCGCCACCAGGGATTGTTGTAGCCAAGGGCGCGAGGGGGAGGGAAAGAGGGGAGCGGGGTAAGGAGGAATTTCGAGTCGACTCAACAAGGCAAGCGCAGGGCGATGGTTGGCCGCAGCACCCTCCCCGCCCAGCCCCTCCTAGCCCTTTCAACGCACAACCCCTTCTTCAACACCCCCCCCCCCCACCCCCCCTTCTTCCCCGTTCTCCCCCCTTCCCCACATGCCCCCTAGTTAAACACCGCCCCTTTCCCCCCCCCCACCCCCGCGCACTTGGCCTGCACGAGCGCGTTCTTGATCTGCTCGCACGCCTCCGCCTCCTTGCGCCCCTGCACCGTGATGCGGCAGATCTCCGCGCCACGATCCGCGATGCGCATCACCTGACAGGCGGGGGAGACGACGCGAAGGGGGGAGGGCGGAGGGCGGAGGGAGACGAAAGGATGGGCAGGGCAGGGGGATGCCATAAGGGGCCAGACTATGAAAGTTTGCCTCGTGTGTCGAGCAAGGCATTGCAGCGCTCGGTGCCGGCTCTGTGCGGGCCAAAGCACAAGGCGATTCTCGAAATGCGTGTCGCAAAAGATCCAAGGGGTGCGGCAGCAGTAAGCACAGAGATTTCCCCAAGAGGCTGGAATCTGTTGTAACCGCACAGCCAGCCAAGCGCTACAAATGTCAGGCTCTATACGAAGCTTCATGACTGACTAACCGCCAAAAGGTAAAACTTTCAGCTAAAACGCCGTAGATGTATGCAGTCTCGTCTATTTCCTCTTAAACATATAACCTCGTACTTAATGCTAGCGAGGCCCATATCGCAAGTCCTTGATGTCAGAGGCGGTCGCGGATGGAATCACTGTTCATTGTTCCTCCGCCATGGTCACGCGTTTTAGCTACCCCAATAACGAGTTCTTCCTGGCCTGTTTCACGGTGAGCTACAAGCCTCCTGTGCCAATGGTCGTCGAATCATGCGATAGGGTGGCCCATGTCGACATCTACGCGTTTCAAGGCTGCCAACAAAAGAAACGCGCGGAAACGCACCGAACCATAGTAGCCCTGTACGTGGTTGGTGTCGAATGGTGTGCTCGCTGCCCAACCACCGTCACCATACGCGTTACAAGGCGAATCGATGAAAGAGCTCACCTCTTCCAAAGTAACCTGGGGTGTCGGAGGCGATTATGGTCTGCACGCGAATCAGGTGCTCGCTGGCCACCGCCACGCTGCCCACCATCATTATACTCGTTATAAGAGCTCACCTCTTCTACAGTAGCCTTCACGTTCTTGGTGTCGGAGGTGGTCATGCTCTGCACGCGGATGGGGTGTTCGCTGCCCACCGCCACGTTGCGAACCATCGATATACGCGTTACAAGGGGACTCGTTATAAGAGCTCACCTCCTCTACAGTGGCCTTCACGTTCTTGGTGTCGGAGGTGGTCATGGTCTGCACGCGGATGGGGTGCTCGCTGCCCACCGCCACGTTGCCCACCATCACCGTGCGCGTCTTGCGCCGAACGGTCTTCGACACGGAGTCCGCGTACTGTAGCCGAGGCACTGCTCACGGAGTCAACCACAGAGAAGTTCTCAAGTTGACTACAAAAATATTAACACTTCAACAAGCCTTGCGTCGAACGTCCGCGTGCTGTAGCGGAGGCAATGCTCACGGATTCAACCATAGACAACACTAAGGTCATATGGCAGGGAAACTTGAGATAACACAAATGAAAAGTTGAGAGACTTCTCAACTAACGATAAGTCGGAAATCCTCCTGAATGCGATGTCGAGAAATTCTTTCGCTAAGCTGCGAGGCCAGACACTTTCGCAAAAGTCTTTAGAGACGGCAATTCGTGAATAACAGCCTGGTGGCTCATCTCGAATATACACATACGTAGCGCTCGCCGCGACCTCTGCGTAGGGCTGGTAGCAATCAGCCACGAATGTCGGCAAAAACTGTTCGTCTCCAGCGAAAATCTCCCGCAACATCCAACATTGTCATACGCTGCCTACTCTTCCTCTTCCCGTAGGTACGCAACCAGCTTGAACGCGCACAGTGCGCTAAACATCCGAGCCACAACGTGTACCAGCATTCGAAGGAAGAACTAAGAATGACAGGAGGAGATGCATTTTCTCGCGAGACTAGCGCTGTCCCTCGCGATGCACTTCGTGCACGCACCGAGGAGTGGACTGCCGGGAGACGCGGGCTCGAGCTCCACGACGCCACCGGAGGCGCGGCACGCAAAGCCCTTGCTCGGCCGGGCCTTGCCCTTCACGCGCACTTGCTTCTGCTGCGACCCGGGAAGCAGCGACGCGACGCCATTCCCGCTCGCGCTGGGCGTTTTAATGCCTGACGGAAGCCCGTCGACGCGCCTCAGCTGGCAGAATTCCAGCGACTGTAGCGACCGCTGCGCCATGGCCATGGTCGATAGTATTCAGTTCCTCGTTCCTTCGTCTTTATTTGGAAAACTTGACACAGGCACTGGAGCGAGATGTGAACTGGACACGCCTGACGCAAGGCAGCCAGCAACAGGCTTGGAAAATGGATGAATTTCTCCCAGCAAGAGTTATGTATTCGGTGAGGTGAGTCGTCAGCTGGGGTGGGGTGGGAAGGGAGCTCTGCTCAGGCGAAGTCTTGAAACGCTTGGCAGAGCTGGGGTGGGAAGGGAAGAGCAGTCATAGGATCTGCTGCACAACGCAGGTAAGGCAGTCAACCGAGCAGCACCGCACAGACCAGCGAACACACGCTGATGAGCCACAGAAACAGCATCCACTCAGTGCCCTAGGTTCTGATTCCTGATCGCAGGAATGTGCCTGTAGGAGCAACGTATCTTATATCGAGTTGTATTTTCTCCAGGTTCTTGTTGCGTGGGGGTCCCATTTGTCCACGTGGAGCTCGAAGTGATCGAAGGGAATTTGGCAGAAGAAAGGAGGAAAAGGCGCGGAAGGATACTGGTGCACGTGGCAGGGATGCCTCGCTGGCGATAAGGCTGTTCCCCACGAGTTACCCGCTGCCTCGAAGTCGCAAATGATCGCGAAGTGGTGCCCAGGAAAAATCAATTGCAAAAAAATAGCTCAGCTCGCCTACATCATCTTTGACTATTAAAAGAATAAGAATGTACGAATTCACATAAAAATGCACATAAGAAAGTTAACACAAGATCTAAACAATATTCGTGAACGAAATTCATTCTACTATTATTTCCTTCCCTGCACGGTAGACGCTACTGCCTCAGGCCTCTTAGTGGGCGATGCATCTATTGAGGACGAGAGCGTGGAGCCATGCAGCGAACCAGAAACTGCTGCCACGTGTTTCTCATCTATCACTACCAGCCCAGTCCTCCAAGTAGTTGCTTCTGGGAGCACAATGGGGTCCACAACGGCCTCTCCCTCGTCCCCCGACCCTCCAGACTCCTCACTGACGCTGCCTCCACTCCTCCCCTCCCCTCCCTCGTCGTCATCACCCACACCCTGCTCCTCCACCCCGTTTCCTTCTTCCCTAGAAGAGCCTGCGTGTTCGTGCACAGGCACAGAGTCAACCCCCTGCTGCTGCTGCTGCTTCTTTCTGCTGGGAGCAGCATTGATGTCAGCAGCACCCGCTCCCCCACCAGCTTCACGGGGACTCGCCCCTGTGGCTTGGCCTGGTAGCACCTGCTTCTGCCGCTTGCCTGAGGTTGGCTCGTGAGTGACTCTAGGGCACGCCTTGGCTGCTTGGTCAGGCGGCAGCAGCCGCTGCTGCTTGCTGCTGCCGTCGCGCACCAGCACCAGGGGGGGGGGCTTCTTGAACCCCCCATGGATATCCCCATGAGCTCCAGAATTCCCTCCTGCCCGCTTTATCCCTGCTCCCCCTGCTGTGGCTACAGCTCCTCCTCCTGCTGCTGCCGACGGTTGTAGCATCATGCCAGTGGGGTTGAGCGTGGGGAGAGGGAGCGGCAGGCGGTAGGGAGCAGCTTGGGGCAGAGGGAACGAGCCGAGCATGGCTGGATGGAGGTAGCCTGCGACTGGCATTCCTGAATAAGGATTGAAGCCCGGAATAGAAAACATTCCAGACGCAGGAGCACCGGGAAAAGAAGGCATCCCAGGAAGTGCAGGCATGCCAGAAATGGAATGCATGCCATAAGTGGCAGGTGCCGGTGTGGCGTACAGCGGAGAAGCAAACCCAGGGACAAACGTCCCTCCAACAGCTGCCGCTGCTACCGTGGCTGCAGCAGCGGTCCCAGCAGCGATGGCAGCGGCGGTGCCCGCAGCAAGGGCAGCAGCGCTGCCAGCAGAACAGCCGAGGAAGGCAGAGCCGCCAGGGAAGAGGCTGCTGGCGTTTGCTGCTGCTGCTGCCGCCGCTGCTGATGCTGACTCTGCTGCTCCTGCTGCTGCTGCTGCTGCTGCTGCAGCGGGAGCGTAGGACCAAGGAGGCTGTTGGCCGGAAGGGGAGGAGAGGCAGGAGGGAATGGAGGGGGCCGCAGGAGAAGCGAACGGAGAGGCGAAGGCGGAGGGAAAGGAGAATGACGGGTGGAAGGGAAGGGCGGAAGGGGGAAGGGAGGAGGGGGCGGCGGGGGGGAGAGGAGAGTGCGGGTTGACGAGTGAGCCGGGCAGCCCTGGAAGGTGGAACTGTTGCTGCGGCGACTGTAACTGCTGTGGCGGTTGGAACGGCTGTGGCGCGTGGGCCCCACCAGGTGCTGCGGCTGTAGCGCAGCTGTAGTCAGGACGAGGCCCGGCTGTAGCAGCAGAGCCTGCAGGAAGAGCAGGTTGGGAGGCGATGCTGGGGGAGGTGTTATGTGACAGGGAGACCTGTGGGGACGGCGGCCCAGCAGATCTGCCTGTCAAGATACTACCTCCCCCAGCTCCTCCTTTGCCTTTCGCTCTTCCTCTTCCGCTTCCCCCTCCGTCTTCCCGCTTCTGCTTCTTCGCTCCACGCTGACGTGGCACGTTCTTACCATGCCTGTCCAACGAATCCGATGCTGACGTGGCGTCGCTCTCCACAGGGGTCCCAACAGCGCAGGAATCTCTGCCGTTCCGCTCATTCCCCCCGTTCTTGTCACACTGCTCTTGTCTCTTCCGCCTCTTCGCTCCGCCGCGCCCCGCGTGGCTGCCCGCGCTTGAGTCCGCGGAACACGTTGCGCCCGCCGCAGCAGCTGGGGGGCAGACGGCGGGAGGCGGAGCTCCGACGGCCGAAGGAGCGCGCGGGGACGAGGGGAGGGCGGAAGAGGGCGGGGAGCGCGCAGTTCCAGCAGCTACTGGCGCAAGCGCAACAGCCGCGTCTCTCGCGGCGATGGCGGAAGCGTGTTCGAATCGAATGCGCGGATTGCCGTGCTCTTTCTCCGCCTCCTCCTCCCCCTCGTCGTTTCCAGGAAGCTGCTCCAAGTCAAAGAGCATCGCTCCCGCTCTCGCCGTTCCCTGACGGTTGGTCAGCGGCCTTTCCGCTCCAGCCGCATCCGCTTTCCTCTTTCCCTCCGCGTCTTCTTTTCCATCGGCGGCGGTCCCCGCGGCGTGCAGTGTCACCTCGCAGCGAGTCGCCATCACCGCCATCAGCCCGCGTTGCACGCCGCAAATCGCGTGCAGCTCCGCCACCTGCTCACGGAACGCCGCCTCGTGCCGCGCTATCACCGCGCGAATCGCGTCGGCCTCCCGCGCGCTCGTCGCGCCGTGGATTGCGGCGGCATCGGCGTCGGGGTCATGGGGCCGCCAGTGCGCTGACACGGATTGCCAATCAGACGTCTGAGCGAGTGCTGATTGCGGCATCGCAACAGTTGTCGCGTTGCGGGGCTGCGGCCTCACAATCGAAGGCGAGGCATTCGCAAATGACGGAAAGGCGGCAGCGGCATCCGCGGTTGCGGCGGGAAGAAGGGTCGGCGGAAGGGTCGGCGGAAGGGTCGGCGGAAGGGTCGGCGGAAGGGGAGGGGGATATCCGGGGAATAACGGAGACGGGTGGCGGATGAAGCTTCCAGGTTGTTGCGCGGAAACGGGGGAAAATAAGGGAAAGGCTGTGTCGGCGTCGGGAACGGCGCGCTCGACGGCGTAAGATGCGCGCGGGCGGAGACACGTCGGGGGAAAAGACCCAGATGAGGGTTGGTTTGCGAAGAGCGGAGGCGGAAGGTGGGCGGAAGACGGGGGGGAAAGCGGAAGCGAGGTGGTGAGGGGCGCAAGCGTAGTCGCGGCGGTGGCGGCGGCGGGAAGCGCGGAGAAGGGGAACGTCTTGAAAGCAGCGGGAGCGAAGGGGAACGGCGTGGCGGCGGCAACTGCGGCGGGAATGACGGGGACTGTCGCGGGGGCGGTTGACGACGAAGCGATCCATCGCGGCACCTCCTGCGCGAGGTGATAGGCGTCTGCCGGCTCGGCGGACATAATAGGCGGCTCGGTGGACCGAGGCGACTCCGGCGGGGCCATTTCAGCGGATTTTCCTTCGAGTCAAATCAGCTAAAGAATACACGATAGAGATTGCAGAAACCTGCCACACGGTTCGACTACTGGCTACCTCAGTAAAGGCGGTTGACAGATATTTATTATTCTCAACCGAGACCAGAGTTAGCAATGGAAAGTGCAGCTTGTAAAGCGGTATAAAAGTCGTCGATTGAAGTGCATGCTTGTCGTATTCCCCCTGAGCCAACTTTGTGAAAGAGCTTTTGGGCTGAAATATGGAGCAGTGGTTGCTCTTGGTGCACTGCTTGGACGAGGGAAACGAGAAAGGAGGAGTGGAGGCAAAACAAGCCATGCACAAGCGATTCCCGCTCCCGCGTACCCGACCTAACCATTTCGGATCGTTACTTGAACCTTTGGACTTGAAGAGCATCTCGCCCAACCGCAATCAAACATACACGCGGGACACGCCTCAGCCAGCCTCCTGAACCCAGATTCCCAGATAGTCTGGAGAGACTTGGAAGCGAGAGTCCCTGACAACCAACCACGCCACGCGAGGAGACAACCGAGGCTGGGACACGCATGCATAGGATGAGTGCGCAAGACACGGCACGCGCGGACATGTCGAGGAAGATATTTACGCTCCCTGCAACTGATTGGCCTTTGCTGCAAGGACACGCTGGCGACCTTTTCAGAAACGCACAAATGGGGCCACAACAACGACACAGATTGCGGGTGGAAGGTGGCAGGGAGGAGGAGAGGGGCACGCCAGCAGCAGTGCAGTAGCGCGCGCGCAGCAGCAGCCTGCCCCGGTAGCGATGCGGTGTGGCGGTGGTGTGGGGTGCGGATCGAGGTAAATAGCGGGGGGTAACAGCCAGATTTGAGGGGCGCCATTGATTCTGGCGGTGACGCAGTTTGACCAGTGGCGTCCAGACACGGCACGCGGGGAAATATCTCTTCACAAGCCCAGATCCGCTCGTCCTCTCCGTGCGGCCGTAATTGCGACATCTGACATGCTCTTGGAGGAAACCACCAGAAACCCCGGGAGAGATATTTGTCAGAATGAAGAGATACTGTGCAGGGCTTTCCGAACTTCCCGTCAGCCGAATCAGTTTCTCAACTCATATGCCCCGCGTGATTCGCATGTGATTCGCACGAACCAACTGCAATTTGCGGCAGGAATGCTCGCCGAATGCGGGCAGCTTTTTCAGCAAACATGCTTCATTACTGTACAGTACCCACAGAAACAAGGAGA